CCCCCCCCCCCCCGCCGAGGCCCCCACTACGCAGTATGCACCACCTTAGGTTTAAATCCTCGCAGAGTGCCCATCAAACCCGTTTTGGCTGTCATCAGAGGGGGCCATTCTCGATTAAACTAACGCTGCTGTCGTGATGCTGAACAGCAGTGTTTTAGTCCCGAACCCTTGCTATCTTTGTCTATGAGTGAGTCGATGAGTTCTCACGAAAGCCAGCGTCCGCCGGCCAGAACAAAATTGTCAACGATACAGCAAGGCCACCAATCACCGGAGAAAGAACAGTTAGGCCATGAAGGCAAAAGCCACCTGCGCACATCAAGAGAAACTCCTCGGGCTCTCTCTCGCTCGGTGTGTGTATTTGTCTCTCTGCCTCTCTCTGTCTGTCTGTCTCGCTTCGACGGAAGATCGTTCTTTTCCCGCTGAGACAGAGGCTGACAGAGAGAGAATTAGAGAGAGAGGGAGAAGGAAAGAAAGAGCGACGAATCCTCAGCCCCGCAAACAACAGAGGCCATGTTCTCGGCATGACCACCAACCGTGTACACACACATTTCCCTCCCTGCTGTATGCTATACTCCTTTGTGTATGTCCTTCGTATTGCCTTTGGCCTCTGTGCTGTGTTTCTTTTTTTTCATGTCCTCCCTGCCTACTGTGCTGTATTGGGTCCCTTGATCTCGCTTTTGCTGTTGCTTTTGTTTTTTGTACATCTGGCTGTCTGCCCATCTGCCGCCTCTTCGTCCTGTTTGCTCCGTTACTCTCATGCCCTGGTGCGTAGTGCCTGGTGCTGGTACGTTACCCTTTGATTTTTTCTTTAGGCGGGTGTGGGAAGCGTCCTCCTTTATTTTTGTCTTTGTTTTATGTTTGATCGGTTTCACAGGGCTCTTTTCTCGAACGGTCGGTGCGGTACCTTTTATTTTCTTTCTATCATTTTGCTTTCTTTTTCCGAGTGGTTTGTACCTTTTTTTTTTTTGTGTTTCCCCGCGGCGTCGTATGTGCCGGGTTTTGAGACCACGGGCTCCCCATTTTTGTGTGGACAATAGAGCTAATGTGAGAAACAACAACAACAGCACACAATCCGCACACCCCAAAAACCTGAACGGAAGTCGAAACAACGACCAGAACAGTATATGCAACCATGACATCATCTTCGAAACCAACACCACACAGGGAGGCACCCTCTTGGGGGCACCGCAAGAGCACCGAAGTCATGCAAGTATAAAAGAATGGAATTTCGACAACCACAGCTGCGCGGACAGCGATACGACATTGGTGGGCCCAGCTCCCAGGCTATGCATGTATGTGGATCATTTTGCAAAGATCATTATAAAATGGAGCGTGCCTACCTCATGGGGATGTAGAAGTAGTCGTCGGCCCACTTCTTGAACCGAGGGTAGGCCTGCGTTACCGCAACGGACAAAGTTGTGAGGTTAGTATAAAACGACAGAACAACAATACCAGCGGTGAGTGACACGAGGTGGTGGCGGTTTCACGACAAGGTTGCGGCGACTAATACCAAAAGAAAGAGAACCATGATACCAGCGGGAACATCGAAACAATACCATCACCAATCTACCATCCCCACCAAACGCATGGACAAAGACGACAGCCGGGGTGTGACAGGGACTCCACGCCACCACCACCACCGGCAACAACAGCAACACCACCCACAAGAACAAGCAGCAAACAGCAAACAAAGGAGGCACACACCACACGTTAGATCACCTCAACGTCGAAGCGGTCGCAGATGTCCTTGTAGAAGCGGTGGAATCCCTCCACGTCTCCATCGTCCAGGTAGTAGGGCGTCAGGTCCGCACCTCCTCCAAACCACCCTTCTCCGGCCACCTGAAATGAGGTAGGCACCCAGACCCCGAAGGCACGATGGCTGTGTGTCCATAATGTGAATCGTGGAGGGGGTGTCATGGATGGGGGTTCACACCTCGGGAGGCACGGCTCTTCATATTTCTACGTTCCCGACGCTCCCTTGGACCAATGTTGCAATGTCCACGTCTTCTCCCTGAGGTGCCTTTTATGGTGGTCGCGGTGTGTGTGTGTGTGTACTCATAGCCGTTCATGCCGTAGTCGTTGGGTCGTTGACCTCGCATCCCCACAAAGCTGGGACAGAGCAACCGCTTTTCGTGGATGAGGCTCTTCCTCCGTGTTTCTCAAAAGAGACGGCCTCGTGCCGGTTCACCACCGATCGGACCACGCGGCAGTTACAGCAGCGGTACCAAGCAAAACGCATGCAAAGGAAGGCAATATTGGTCTTTTCACGCGTTGTGTCCCGGGTTTCTTGCGACATGTCTAGATACGCGACGAGGGATGCTCTGGCAGCGAGCGACAAGCTTGGATGAAACAAGCACCATTGCGCGAAGGCTACAGAGATGATCGTCCCACCCGCCTCACCTCCAGATAACGGACATCCGCCCGGAACGTGGGTACGAGGGGACTGGCCGTGTGAAACACCAGCGACATGGCCGCCGCAGAGTAAGCTTGACCTCCCGCTGGGTCGATGTTTGACCGCCCGCGCGAGCTCATGGCCTGTGTGGCACGTCGTACATAACAGTTCGAATACATATTCCATCCGATCGGTGACACCGCGCACGGTTCGGAAAGAGCGGGCGGGACCAGGTGAGTACAGAGGGGCGGGATAGTGTACTCAAAGCGTGTTATTAGAGCGGATTTTCTGGGGGGTGCTGATGCCCGGCATGAGAAGAACGACTGTTACGTCAAGCTGTTATCATCGGACGTAATTTCTTCCCGCATTCGTATCAGAAAGGACCGCAATGCGGCTGCCAATTCCAAACGGGCGAGGAGACTACCTGCCGCGAGCCATAGTCGCAGGATTGAACCGCATCAGAGGCAGCGGCAATGTTAGCGGGGGGTCAACCTCTCGCGGTGCTGCCAACAAAAACGATGTCGCGAATGAGCGAATCACCTGCGCCCTCTCCGGTGTAAGCACCCCATGGATGACTGACACGCTGCAGGCGGCCTTCTCCAACAGCTCCCCGCCCTCCAGCACACGTGTGATGCCGAAGCCCTTCATACAGACGACAAAACAAGCGCATCAGGACAGGCGGTGGCAACAGACGCGAGGCGCTCTCCGCAGACAAATTCTGAGATGTTGGATCTTTTAAGCGTGCTGCCAGAGTTCACCCCGCTCTTAGCCCGCCTTACAGGTAGCTATCTGATGCTGACGTTAAATCAGGGCATGATGTTACGGCAAGTCTGTTGGTGTGCGTGTGCACAGCTGTACCGTAGGTTGCGTAGGATACCGCACCCCCTAGACCGATTCAAAAGCTCGATCACTCTGCAGCAAAAGCAGTGACCGTGTCGACAATGGCGGCGTTGGAACCGTCTCGTCGAAACATTCAGGGAAAGTGTAGATTGATTGCGACATCCTCTTCGTCGTATACTATCGACGTTTTGAAAGTCGGTCCAGCAAGTGGTACCTGATCCAACCTGTATAAATGTATCGTGTAGATACCGCACAGCAGAACGAGAAAAATTGGGAGGCATCACATCGAGGCCACGACAACGCAAACGAGCATGTTGCCGTCGGCGTATCCGGCAGGGTAGTAGTTTCGGCTCCATGTGTGCACACACGTACATGCGCAATGTTTTACCGCCGTAACCAGGATATGCAACAACAGCTGTACAGCAGTAGCAGCCATACCTTCGAAGCTCCATCTCTCTCCCAGCGGTCGATGCAGAAGGTCGCTTTCCCGTCCGAGGTTTCGGCCTGCGAGCATATATCAGACTGGGTCTTCACCAGAAACTCAGCAAAGTTATCGAACTGTTCGCTGCTGCTACGATTGTCGGCAGCATGGTCGTTCTCCATGCTTGGTGTTGCTGTTGGGGTGTTGTCGGCGGTGGCCGTTGCTCCCAGCACCGAGGAACGAGATGGTGATGATGCCGCATGATGAAGTTGATGTGCCAGAGCGGCAGTTGCTGGTAAGCAGAAGCTGATGACCGCGACCGGGAAGTGACTTGCCAATAGTATGAAGAGAAAACCCTTCGCTCCCGCCTCCATCGCTCCTGCTTCCATCGTTATCGGCAAGCGCTTGGGGCAGGAGGCAGGAGTAGGAGTGTGCAAGGATTGGCCGACGCCAACTCATGTTTCGTTTGGCGGGACTGTTGACTTGGATGTTTGGCGAGGGGACGGACCCCCCCCCAGAGTTTTCCCTTTTTTTTTTCATCACAGCTCTCATTTTTGTTTAGCCCGCCAACCCTGGCCCACGCAACAAGCACCACAGCCAGCACGTAGCTGGCGATGACAAGACGCTACCGACTATCGGGAGGCATTTGCCTACCATCCTCGGCAGTGATAGTTATGCTTTCAATGATGGGCGGCCTGGGCCGCGCACGGTCCTTCCAGCTCACCTCCACCGCAGCGGCAACCTCAGCAGCAGCTCGACGTTGCAGCAGCGCCGGCCCGGCGTGGGTTGGCCATGGCGGGCGGATACCACGGTTGGCGGGGGAAAGCAGTCGTGCTGGGGCTGCGAGAACCACTGCAGGCAGCAGGGGACGAGGAAGAAACGGCCGGCTTGCAATGGTCAAGGTGAAAGAGACAGGAAAATCAGTCAAGATTTCAAGTCTGGTGTCAGGGCATGCGATACAAGGCGGTAGGGCGCCCGCAAGCCGGAGGGGGGTGAACTGCTGCAGGACCAGCATCAATGTCATACCGCGCACATTTTGCACGCTGCATGGCCGCAGCCTATCTGCTTCCTACGCAGTTGCAAACGTCTCGTCGCGTGTTGCCGTGTAACCACAGGCGCAGGCATCCACCATTGGTGACACAAGATACCACACCCCCTGAAACCGATTTTTAAAGCTTGACTGCTGCCGTACAGTACAAGCACCACCCCCCAGCAGAAAGAGTGGCCGTGCCGAAAATGGCGGTGATAAAATAATCCCGTCGAGATCTTTCCGACGACGCATCAATGTGAGTTGGCATCCACTTCTTGGTGGAGAAGTGGAGCTTTCAAAATCGGTCCTGGGGGTGTGGTATCTTGTGTCACCTACGGTGCAACCTATCGTTCATGCAGTCTAGCATATAAAGACTAAATCCGAATACTTGCCGCTCCCGAAGGCCACTTACCCGGCACAACAGGAGTCCGCTTCGGCACACCGCTGGACGGCGCTCTTGAAGCTATGTTATGCAATAGAACCGTTGTCATATGGACAGGGGAACCCGAGCACCACTCGAATGTACATCTCAGTCCGAGCAGAATAGCAGCGGGTAGATGTGTCCATCTGCCATAAGCCCACCTCCTGTACGTGTGTCGAGGGATGGTCTTGGAAAATCCGAACCAGATGTTGCTCTTGCGTGTAATTGCAGCACATGACGCTGAAAGGGATAATAGTTTTTCACTCTGACCGGGCCGAAACCTGCCGGTTACCGCCGCAACGACATGTGCAGACCAACCACGCCACCAAGCGCTAGCTTGTACTTCAGGACACGTAGATATACTTAGCCTAGCCCCGGAATATATTTGCTACTGGCTACACAGGTCTCGCAGCGTGCACGTGCAGATGTGGGGAAGACGTGAGACGTGTCGCCTCGCCCACAACCCCCATTGCTGTACACCCTACCGTGACCCACGCCCCGACTTGGCACCCAACCACAGAGCCCCCTCGCCGCCCTGCCCTGCCTACCCCACCCCACTCCTCCGCCGTACCTACTCATTCGCAAATTATCTATCCCCCCCACCCCAATCGAATGACCTCCCCAAAACACTGCAAACAAAAACCAAACCAAAACAGAGCATGGCTCGACCGGACAAAGCGGCTACGGCGCCGCTCTCCACGAACGCCGCCGCCGCCGGTGAGCCGAGAGAGAGGCCCGCGGCGGCTCAGCCCCCCTCGCGGGTGGACGGCGACTACGGCGCGGACCAGATCACGGTGCTGGAGGGCCTGGAGCCCGTGCGCAAGAGGCCCGGCATGTACATCGGCTCCACGGGGCCCAAGGGTCTCCACCACCTGGTGTTCGAGGTGGTGGACAACGCAATTGACGAGGCCTTGGCGGGGTACTGCGACACGGTGAGCTAGCCCCCCCCCCCCCCCC